TCCATTAGCATCCTAATGGTCAGGTTCTGTCTAGACTACAGCAACATATGGGATGGTAAGTTTTTGCGTATAATCTTCTCACCGTTATGTTCTGCTGAATGTCTTTTGGATTTTCTTGCTGATTTGACAAACGCCTAGTTTGGGTATCCACCGGTTTGAAGAGCATCTTTGATGTGTTTCTGTTATATTTGTTTCCCTTATGTTTTTGTAGGGACATGCTCAGCACGATGTTGTAAGGATTGTGATCCATTGGGTGGTGTGAGTCACCCACTGGAATAGTAGTAAACCTGTAGACTGAGAGTCAAGTGCTCTGTTAGGGACATAAGGAACAATCAAATCTCTAATATAAGATGTAGCTTGGTCATTTATGGCTTTATATGTGACAATGAGGATTTTAAATGATATTCTAGATTTAACAGGAAGCCAATAATGAAAAACTAGGATAGTAGAGATATGATCTCTCTTTTTAATTTTCATCAGAACTCAGGCTGCAGCATTTTTGATCAGCTAAAGACTTTTAACTACAGTTTGTGGACTTCCTGATGGTAAATAATTACAATAGTCCAGCCTTGAAGTAACAAGTGCATGGACTAGATATTTTAAAATTTGGCAATATTGTGCAGATGAAAGAGGTAAAGTCTAGAAGCCTCTTTGATATGTGATCTAAATGACATGTCCTGATCAAAACTAACACCAAGATTTTTTACTTTATTATCTGAGATCAGTTTAATCCCATTCAAATGAAGTGACCGACTAACCAGCTTCTTTTTCAAACACTCTGTTTTGTCTGCATTCAGAAGCAGAAACTTAAGAGTCATCCAGGTTTTTATATCTTCAAGACATGCCTGTAACCTATGTAATGGGTTAGCCTCATCTGGATTCATAGACATATAAAGCTGAGTATTATTAGCATAACAGTGGAAAATAACCCCAGTCTGTCTAATAATTCTACCGATTGGGAGCATATATATATATATATATATATATATATATATATATATATATATATATATATATATATATATATATATATATATATATATTAAAGAGAATTGGTCCTAGCACTGATCCCTGTGGTAGCTACTCTACAGGTAACCTTTAAGCATGAGGAAGATTTGTTATTAACGTGAACAAACTGAAATCGATCAGATAGGTAAGATTTAAATCAGTCTAGTGCTGTTCCTTTAATTCCTACAACACATTCATGTCATGAAGCAGAGCAGTTGGACCCAGTATTCAAGGAGAGACAGTCAGTAGGAAACTTCAAAACGTTTATTAAATGAAAACAAACAAAACTAAAACTAAAGTGGAGCATCTTGGAACTGTGTCTCGCGGCTACTGCAATCACAGACACTCTGTAGGAGAAACACAGGTAAGTGACCACGATCATTGGACTGACGATGATGAGCTCAGTGAGTCACTTACCTGGTTTAGGAGTTCAGTCCATCATCCTTGAAGGGGGTGCGATCCAGCCGATGGGCTGACTGCTGATGCAGCGCACGTCACCCAGAGTGTCCCCGGTGCTGCAGTTCCAGAGGATTGGCAGGAAGCTGATCCTGATCAGGGATACAGATCAGGCAGGAACATACAGAACAGGATCCAGAACAGGCAGGAACAGACAGGTGGCAGGATCCAGTCCGGAAGGGTGGCCAGGGGGTCTAGCACAGAAGCAGACAGGATCGGGTGCAGACAGGCAGGCTCAGTGGAAGAGGGTAGCAGAGACAGGACGTGGAACGAGAACTTGATGCAGGACCTTTAAACTGGTTTCCTCCTTGAAGCCAGGCTTACGGGGATAGAAACTGAACATCCCTGCGTACAGAGTCAAAAACCCTGAGGACTCAGCAGGGGAGAAACAGTGGACAATCAGGAGACAAGACAGACACAAAACCCTCTTTCCATTTGCAGCCAGGATCCAAAAGATGAACCTTGAAATAAACAGAACTGAACAGAACGACTAACAGAAAACAAATAATGATCTGGCCCTGAATGCTAAGGCTGAATAGAATATAAACCAAAGGGAACAGGTGAGAGGAATAAATGATAATTGACGCAGGGAGGGAAAACAGCAGGTGAAAGAAATAACCAATTGAGGGAGAGCAAACAGGCCAGATCAAGGCTTTCTAAGGTAGTGTTAAGATCAACTGTATCAAATGCAGCACTGAGATCTAAGAGGACAAGTACAGATACGAGTCCATTACCTGAGGCCATGAGAATATCCTTAGCGACTTTCACCAGAGCTGTTTCAGTGCTGTGATGCTATGCTCTAAAGCCAGACTGAAACTCTTCCAAAGGTTCAATATGGTGTAAGTGGTCGCACACTTGTTTGGCAGCTACTTTCTCAAGAATTTTAGATAAGAAAGGAAGTTAATGATCTAATGTTCTTATTTTTAATAATCCCCCACTAACGTAACCCTGTCAAGATTTAATTCCAAACCAGATAGGTACTCTACAATTTGGATGAGGGAAACTAAGGGTTAAATGTTCAAGAGAGTTGTAATTATTAACTGCCTTTGGAGTAATCAGTAAGTCAGACTCAAAGATTGTTGCTACTCCTCCTCCTCACCCAGAATTTGTGGGTATGTGAAAATTTAAATAACTAGAAGGTGCTGCCTCATTGATGCTCACATAATCCTGGAAAAGAGTCAAGGGAGGTAGAGAGAAGCTTTACTATGCTAAGCTAGCACTAGCCTAGGCTAGCAACTATTTACTACCAGAAATAAAACCGTGTGAGAGTGACAAGTGTTCAGTAGAGTGGTGACAGGGTTATCACAGAAAAAAAAGAACTTAATTCAGACAAAGCCTGAACAGCACGCTGCTCAGCAGTCAAAACAGGAAATGAACATGATACATCTCACCAACAACAGCAGTACACACACATACACACACTATGTGTGTGTATGTGTGTGTACTGGGTACTACATCCACAGTATCTTTTGAATGGTTATTTTAAATGTCATACAAAATTTGTGTCCAAAAACAGAATCAATTCAACATAAAAAGTGTTGAAAAACTCTTATTTCTGTAAACATTGACTTTCTGCTTTGTACGTCTTTTTCGAAGTGGTTCAAGAATACCCAGTGCTCTTTCAATTTCCACAAGCACTTTTACAGTCTGTCTACTTAAGCCCATACTATTTCATTAATGTGATAGGAAAAACATACACAGCATTCCATATATTATTTGGAAGTTTACACATATGAAATGTTTTTGAAAATGTCATTATGCATGAGTAGAACAACCATAAAATAAAATTGTACTAATGAATTTTATTGATAATTTCCAATGGTCCTGAAGGCTAAAAACACTCACAACCAAGATGCTTAATGCAAGTTTGCTCTGCCTATGTAGGAATTCCAGCAAGTGAAAACAAACTGTTTTAACTTTTATAACTGTAGGAATCCCCATGAATATGATGGAGAAAGAAACACACCAAATTATATAAAGCACATAGCTGTAGAGATATTGCAATAGAAAAGTATTTGTAGTTGAAATAACTTTTCAACTACAAATACTTATCCAATTTTGTTAGGGGCACGGTTAAGGGACAGACCACTGGTGAGTTCCTATCATGCCAACTCACCCGCATCACGAGAAACACCATCACCTGCATCATAAATATCTGTCCTAAATATGATGTATGAAACAACAGGATGGTAGAAAACCAAAACAACATAAAAACAGAATATCAAAAATTGTTAAGGTTGATCAAATCTAAATCTTAAATCTTAATTTTTTCATGAATTTTATAAATTTAACAGGCTCCTGCTCCCCACTGTTAGAAAGCAAATAAAAAAAGCAATTAATTGCATACATTTTTTAACACAATAAAATGTTTTCTATTTATTAATCGAAATAATGCCTTAAAGTCTTGGACCTATTCTAAATATAGGCTATTTTATAAAATAATACTAATAATAGTATAAGTAAATACTTTTTTCTATAAGTGCATTGTCTTTTCAAATGATCAGATCTTTTTATTTACCTGTTCAAATTAAGAAAAAATATACTTATTCAAATATTTTTTAAACTTATTTCAAGATCAGTTTTTGCAATGTAATAAAAAAACTCTGAAAAAAAAAAACAATTCAGCAACTAAATCTAAAAAACAAACAAAGTTCTCAAACCCACATCCTATTAAGTAGCTGTCAGACTTTAGAGGGGCTAAGCTTCTGTAATCCGGGTCATGGCACCGATGTAACCGGATCAACCTTTGACTCTTGGTTGTGTGCTGTACTGCATAAAGAAAAACTGAGCCTGGATCTGGGTCAACTGTCTTTTACTCTTTAAAATGTCAAAATGAAACACAACGCAGTGAGTACCTAAATAATTTTGCCTCCTCTGGCAGTCTTGGCTGTCCTGTAGCTATTTGACATATTAAGCCGTGTATCTCTCCTAATTTCCTATAGACCATGTTGGAGTGCCGAGTATATGATCAGTATAATTGAAAAAAGAACTTTTGTGCTTCAGCAATTAAAATACATTGCCAGAAGTATTTGCGAAGTGTCCTAAATCTTTAGATGTAGGTATTCGATTCACTTTGGCAGCTGTGTAAAATCAACATGCCAAAGTGATTAGAATAGAGGCATTAAAGAATCGGTCCAACTATGTGTTGTAGGATGACTTTAGGGTCCTTTTGTTCTAGCCTTTAGAAATGTTTCCTTGTTCAACACAGCTCCTTTGTTCCTGATAAGAATCATTAAATGCAATAGCTCTGCACCTGTGTTTGATTGAATTGGTTTCAGTTGTGTTTGGATACAACAAAAAAATATATTAATCATATTGGCAATGGTAGGAATCTAGGAAATGAAGACCCTACATTACTAAATAGGATTGCTGAGTAAAAAAAAAAAAAATTAAGATTCATTTAGAAGCTAATTGTGGAAGAAAGTCCTATTTGACTGTTCATTCGAAGGTAACCAATCAGATACATTAAACAGTTTGGATCGCCACACCTCCCTCAGTTACTTAAACATTAAGTGTCCCAATGAGGACAGTGTCAACATGACTCAACTATGGTTTATATGGTTGCTTCTTCATCAAGCATGTAAGTAGATTTGAAATTATTAGATTGAGTTTTCAAATAACATTTTTATGTATGATCTGTGATTTATGCTTTCTGCTAATTTATTCTTTTTACATGTCATTGCTTTTTATGTACTACAGATACTTTAGTCCCCATCATCACAGTCCAGCTTGGGGAACCTGTCACTTTGACCTGTTTTCCTGAAAATCTAAAGGTCGTGACTTGGGTTTACTGGTATAAGCAGAGTGCAGGAAATACTCTGGAATTAATTGCAAAGGTGCATAAAAGTAAAAACCAAATCTATGAGCACGGATTTCAAAGGTCAAGATTCAAAATAACCTACAATGGCAACAAAGGCACCTTGACAATTTTATCATCAGCTGAACAAGATGAGGGAATGTATCATTGTGGTTTTATGGACTGGAGTGAATTCACTTGGGCTGGGACTTATTTGTCAGTAAGAGGTAACAACTAGTATTTCTTAAACCCAAAATTTGGTTTTAGTTAAAATAGATGAGAGCTGTTTTTATTACCATCATGTCTAGTGTGCTTTAGATAGGCTTATTTGGACAATTTTTCAAAAACTCTAATACATACAAGAGTAAAATCTGTTTTTAGTAGAAAAATTTGGTGCTCAACACTCAAACTTAGAGTGGAAACATGCATAAGCTGGAAGACAATATAAATGAGAATTCTGTTATGAGAATAAATACAAATTATTTAGTTAATTATATATTGAGTATGTATCAAAGTTTTGTCATACTAGTCTTTAGTGAGTTCTAAAATACTTTTTTCGATTATTAACAACAGAAAATGCATGGTTAAATCAATTATTATTAATTAGCAACTATTAAATCTTACTATTTAAATAGTAAGAACAATTTTTGGGTTAACCATAGATAATTTATTCATCTGCTTCTGTTTATCCATATATCCACATATGTGTTAAAAGTGTAACATTGCAACTTTTACAAATGGAACAAGCTCATTCAACATTTTCAAACTTTTAAATTAAAATTGAGATAAAAATGATTTTTTTTCCAAAAAAAAAAAACTATTTATGTTTATAACATTTTTAGCCAAAATGTAGATGCCAGAGCCCATATTTATAGGTATGTTGTTTTTTTTCTTAAAAGGAAACTCTCAGAGGGTGTCAAGCTACACTGTTGTTCATGAGCCAACAGTTTCTGATCGCGCTCATCCAACAAACCTAGAGACTCTGCAGTGTTCAATCCTGTCTGAGTCTGATAACACAACCTGTTCAGGAGAACCCAGTGTGTTTTGGTTCAGAGCAATATCTGATACCTCATATCCAGAAATTGTCTACAATGAAGGCATAAAACAAGAAAATTGTGAAAAGACATCAAACAATCAAAAGAAATGTAGTTTTGGGTTTTCCAAGAACATCAACTCATCAGTCTCCTATTACTGTGCTGTGGCCACATGTGGAGAAATATTATTTGGAAATGCAGCAAACATGAAGAATCAAGGTATTGTGGATCTTTTCATTTATACTATGTAGAAAAATCATACTTTTCTGATATGTTTCATTTTCTTTAATTTCTAGATAAAATGTCAATAAATTCATCGATTGTCTTAATGATCATAATAATCAGCTTGGCCATCTCTGTGACCCTGAATATTATTTATTTTTGGTACCGAACAAAAAGATCAACCTGTACACGATTAAACGGTAGGTGTCATTTATCAAACTAAACTTTTAAAGTCATCACACCATAATTTCAGAGTAAGTTATTAAGTCACATTCCAAGTAATAGCATGAAATGAAATATACTGGCAGATGTTTTTGATGGAAAATTTTACTTAGCTTAATCTCAGTGTCTTTAGATGTTTGCCCTGTCTTAACAGAAAGTTCCCCTTCTCAACCAAATCCCGGGGACTTAAGCCAAGAAATAAATGAGGTAAAAAAATAACACTTTATTGTTATAATTACAACTGTTTGTGATAGTAAATAACACAGCTGACAAATTTTAAATGTATTTCTTGATGTATTTTTCCCCAGAGTGAAAATGGGCTTGATCTGGATTATGCCGCATTGCATTTCTCTAGAGGGAAGGAACAAAAAAGCAAAAAGAAAAGAGAACAGAAGACTGAAGAAAGTGTATACTCACAAGTGATATTCAATAGTAATAAATAACTTTGACTTTAGACTTATGCTGAATACCGACATTGTGGCTTAAATACTCTGAAAAATTAAAATAATTTCAAGCTTAATGAAGTGAGAGCATGCGTAGAAGAAAAAAAAATTCTTAGAGGTAGATGACGGAATCACCCCTTCTAACAGCAAAATATGATTTAACTTTTATTAGGATTTTATAACAGTGAAAAACACCATACATTGCAGTTGCCTTCAGAATTCATCTATTAAAAACAGTTCCAGCATAGACTGGACAAAATTAAAAAAATCTGTGAAAAGTTCAAACATTCTAAACTTTTTCTGTTGGATATTTTCTGCTAGCTGGAATCCAAGGAACAGCTGTGAGCTGATTGTTAAAATATTTTCTTAAAAGATTCCTGATTTTCATTCATTTTACATCTTGGTATTGGCCACCTTTTGCGTGTCAGAATTAATGTTTTAATCTAATTAAGACAGTTCCTCTGTTTGGATATACAGTTATACTCATTCTGTACGTGGCAAAGATTTGGAAATGGAATGAGAGCGGTGTCCTTCAGCTAAGAACGAAGTGTAATATTTTAATAAGGCTGCAGCCATGAATGTATAATCATCTGCTAATGTGTATGATGTAAAATATGATGATGTGGCAGACTGGAGATTAATCGGGGCCACTTCCTGAGAGGTGAGCCCAGAGGTGAGCAGCTGCCTTTTGTATATTCTAAGCAGTTTCTCTGATCTGAGTAAGATTACAATTTCTATCAGAATCTGTTGTCATTTCTTCTGGTTAATTAATACATATAAGTTATGAAGTGTTATTTCAAGAGTTTGTCCCGAGTGATCTCTTTTCAGGGAAAAGAACCAGAGAGATAAAGGGTCAAGGTGCAGACACAGAGAGCCTATCTTTAACAATAGCATGGCCTTTTTTTCTACAAGATGGGGACCCAGCTAATTGCTGCGGCTCCAGGCTTTTGATGTTTGCTTTTAAGATTTTGTTTAAGTTTTCCTTCTACTGTGTGCTTTTAACTTGTCACTGTGCCAGAATAAACAAAAATCACAATGGGGATATAACGACAATAAACTTTCTTGATATTTTCATTGTAATCCTGAAACTACTCCGAGTAACTTAACCACACAAAATATTCCTAAAAGTTTGGAAAACTTAATTATCTGCCATTTGGTAGTTCTGGTATTTGGACCAGAGCCACTGAAAACATGCCAGTCACTAAATCTAGAAGGAATAAAAATTTCCACCAGGAAAAATATAAAAGAGCCTGAGTATTTTCTTCAACTAGCACATTATTTAAATCCAATTAGAAACTATTTTTTTCTAAATTTAGATCAAGTTTGTCCTGTCCTACAGTGGTGCAAAAACTAGCTAATGCATTTGCTACTTCAAGAGGAGACTTATGTAATTTTAAACTATCAATATGTTCTTAAAAATCTGTAAAAAAAAACAAAAAAAACAAGCGACAGGGTGCACCCTTGACATGTCATCACAGCTCAAAATAGAGACTTACAGGACAAACAATCATGCTAGCACAACTAAGAAGACCATATTAACCTATCAGTCAGAATGGAAGCTTCTGCAAGGAAAACAACTACAAGCAGAAAGAAAATAGGCAAGGATTCATAAATATAACCTTCTTCATGCAAAGCAACTTCTTTATTCTACAGCACTGGTTCTCAACCCTGTTCCTCAACTGTCGCTGCCCTGGATGAGGTAGCTCTTTGCTGCAACACATCTTGCTTAAATAAATCAGACATGTGCAATACTTGATGGCTGCTGATAAGTCTTGTGTAATAATTTCAATCATGTGTGACACAACAGAGAGATACACCTAAAACATGCAGGGCAGTGGCATTTACCCAGGATTGGGACACACTGGTCTACAGCCTTTTGTAAAGATATGATTGTATGTAAGGCTGAAAGTCCCTTAAAAAAAACAGTTATCATAAAGCAAGTATTCAAAATATTTTTTTATGCTCATATTTCTACATTAAAGATATTTTTATAGGTCTGATCTGCTACTGTAACCTTATATGCTTTATAGCTGTGGTATGAAAAAATAATTCTTTATTTCTCCATTTAATTCATGATAATAATCCTTTTTTTCTGGGCCCGGGTTTTTCAATATCTTCTTTCTCAAATTGTCTGTAACTTTTGATAACGACATTCACTGCTCTGCATAATTGTAAGATAGTTAGAAAACGTTTTCATGGCAGAACAGGGCTGAGCACTTCAGTTGCGAGGGCTCTTGTGATTGTGTTGTTCCTGTCTTTGCAAAGACCAAATAAAGTACAGACCGAGTGATTACCCCCATTCTCTCTTTATTTAAATAGTATTTCCCTACAATAAAAAAAAGAAATAAAAGATTAAAACACCAGCCTCTGTGCAGTTAATCTGAACTGGGCTACTGAAATAAATGAAACTTTCAGTAATGTTCTGATTTCTTTAACATGACTATACAGTATAAATGTTTCCTGTTGTAAATGTTAACTTCTTGTTAATGGAATTGATTCTGAATTCAGAACTTTTGAAAAGGTTAACTATACTGTAATTCCCTTTAGCTGCAATGCAACTTAAACAATGACTTGGCAGAGATGTACCCCAGGATACCCTTCCTGATGCAACTTGAAACCAGTTTCCTTTTATTAAAAATTAAAACTTAAACCCCCTACACAAGAGAGGGACATTGTGATAAAAGGCAGATGATAAAAACTTTTGGCTAACTAATAGGTTAGATAATCACTGATTTCAAACTGAAGAACACACCTTGATGATCTCTGTAGATGACCCTGTTTTAAGACCATCTTATTACCAGATCATTGGAGGTATTGTTTCTCAGATAGCGTACACAAGGGATAAACATATTTAAGCATTAACAGAATTTATTCCACCAATGTTTAACAAAATCATTGCTACAAGCACAAATTGCAGAGGAAGATCTCACTTTCTTTTAGGCCCTGACATCAGAACCATCCAATGGAAGCCCTCTGAAAGGCAGAGAGCTTATACCCACTTTCCCATTTTATCTAAAAGTCAGCCAGGAAGTGTCTCATCTAAAGGCCCCCAGTCAGCATCCTGGTGTCATCACGCAGCCTACAGCATTACCATATGAGGTGATGCTGGTCACCTAATGTAAGCATAAGAATGCCCATTTTGGCAGGCCCACACAGAAGAATGATCAGACATAGAAATGAACAGATGTAACAGTTATTTAAAACTGAAGATAACATAGCAAATTAATCTTCAACAATCCCTCAGCAAATTTCATGGTACAACAGTTTATTGCATATCCATCTTGGTATACTTAAGTGTTTCAATTTTAGCTTTTCAGACACAATGTTACTCAAGATTACCGCAGTTAAACTCAAATAGAAATATTTTACCTCTGTAACATGATCACAGATAGCTCTTTCTTTCCTGCACTTCATCAATATCTCATATTAACCAGAGAAGGCTCTAAGAAGGATATTGAAATAAAAAAATAACAAAATAACACAGTTTTACAGACAGATTACTCTGGTGACATCTATCACAAAAGCAAGGAAAATACATACCTAATTGTTTAGCAGAAGGTAATTTGTTAATTTTCCCTTCACATTTGAGTTTACTAAACCTGGTGCATTTAAGTTTTACATATAAATGATTCAGCAATTAGAAAATATGGAAAGTATATACATCACAAATGTTTAAAAAAAACATATAACCAACTGTTGGCTTTGTAACCACAGCTACAGGATGAACACAGCCTAAAATTCAGGTTATTCTTGAAATTTTATTGTATTGCTGCAACAGGGTTGTCAATTACACTCCTTGAGGACCTGCTCCTTTTAGAAGTGTCTCTGCTTCAGCACATCCAAGTCTCTAATTAGATCATTAGGGCAACTCTTGATAACTTGTCTGCATGCCGAGGATGTAATCAAGGCATTTGATACAGGATTGTGAGCAGAGACACATCTAAAAGGTTCAGGATTCAGGATCTTCAGGCGTGGAGTTTAGAAAAAAATATATCTGAGAGTCTGAATCACTGCACCATACATGTATTTAAAAAAAATAAACAACAACAACAACAACAACAAAAAAAACAGCATCAAAATGTTCCTACATTAAAGGATTGTGGTACTACTTTCTCAACCTTCTCATGCAGGAATTATGATAAACTCAGTTCAGATTTTCTACTAAGTGTTTTTAAATGTCCTTGAGGAATGTAAACAAGTAAAAAAAATCTTAAATCTTTATTCTATAAAGAAATCAGTGTGTCCACTCAAGTGTAATTTATAGATTATGTACTATTTAAATTATGTAATGCAAAAAAACAAATGGTAAAAATTTTTATTATGCATTAAACATCCAACATCTCTCCTTTTTAGTAGCTGCTCTCCCTCTATCTCTCTCCTCACTGCTCCTCTTGCTGCTTGGCTCACAGAGGTACTCTGTTTGACTGGGCCTTTTCCTCCCTATCCTGTTTTCAGTTTATCAAAAGAATATTAACACAGTCAAGAACGAAAATGATAAAATTTAAACAATGTGCATTTCAACATCATGTTTCAATGAGTTTGACTTCATTTCAAAACATTAACATGAAATGAAACTAAAATAGTTTCCCTGGTTCCAGAGTGAAAGAACAAAACAAAAATGTAGCTATTAATAAGTATAGATTATAAACAAAGTAGATAAATATGCTAATTTAATCAAGTGTAAAGAAGATAAATATGAGTCTGCAACATTACTGCAGTTTTAGATAAAATGGGGCTTTTGAGGGCTTTTGAAGGACCATTGTGAGTCTTGAATAAAGGCAAGTTTCCACAGAACATTATTATTATTTTGAAAATTAAACAGATATTCCATTTTGTTTCTGCACATGACTTCCTGTCCCACACAATCTACTCCAAGCCATCTTTCTGTGTTGAGGTCCAGCATCCGGCAGAAATGAAACAGGTTCAACATCCAACACTGAGAAACCAACATGGAATAAACGTTGCTAACATATCAATTTATTTTATTATTTTTGGTTTCTGCGTACTACTTCCTGCCCCGCGCGATCTGCTCTAACTACTGAACTACTGGTCATTGCAGCTGGAAGTACATGTTAGTGTTTTTCAGGTATGTGGTACAAACTGAAGGCACCATAATAAAAAAAGCGAACGTATTTTGCTGGCAGACTCTGATATTTTAAGTTAATTTAGGCATTAATAAACAGTTTCAGGGTAGTGATAATAGCGTTCTGCACAAGCAGTGCATTGTCCGTCTTCCTGTCAGCTCCCAGATCAGCTTCTCTGATTGGCTGATGCGGCCCATCGAGCAGCAAAAGTTGAAATTTCTCAACTCCAACATCTGCTACGTGTGAAGCGTGTCACTCACCTCATGCTCAGAAGCTCACGAAGTGCTGCTCTTGCTGCTCAGATGCATCAGGATAGGCTGCGCCTGCTGCTCCAGACACACTGCAAGACTTTTTAATAGGCCTTGATGCGCATCATCCATTGACTTGGCTGCTCCTACTTTCTGGAACAAACTTCCAGAAAAACTGTAAAAGTGCAGAAAGCCTGAGTTCCTTTAAATCATGACTAAAAACACATTTGTTTAGGATTGCCTTCGACTGTTCTAGTTAAACAGTTCAACTGAAACATCATTAGTTCAACTTTTTTATTTTCTTTAGTCAAACTGTTTTTAATGTTCTTTTTTGTTTCTGCATTTTTTTATTTAATTTTTTTCCCTACGTGCTTTGATTCTGTTGTATTTTCCTATGTTTTAATCATGTAAAGCATTTTCATTGTATTTGTACTGAATTGTGCTATACAAATAAATTTGCCCTGCCTTGCCTTGCCTTGCCTTAGCGCTCCAAACCCATTTATTTGGGTTCTTTGCAAACATACCATAATGTTTAATAGCCAGGTGTATGGGAGAATTATCCTGCCATAATGCAAGAGCACATAATTTCAATTTGAGAAAATAATTTAATCTTCTTGCACTCAAAACTTATAATGCTCCCACTCAAAACATGCGCTCTCTTTTAAATATTTTCTCTTCTCTCTCAAATCTAAAAGCTATGCATTTTCAGACGTGACGTGATGTGAACATAAAAACTACCACAGAAAAAAAAAAAAAAAAAGTTTGCTAGTCAGGGCAGATGCTAATTCTGCCTCCAGCAGAAATTAAGTGACTTTTCATCGATGATTCTTGAATCGCCCTTTATTATTTCCTTTTTTTATTTTCCTGATTGTTGTTTTTCAGCTTCTTATTTTAATAGCTTTTAAATTAAAAAGCCATTTTATTGTCGGTAAGGTTTATCACAGGCACACTCAGTAGAGTTAGACAAGCGCACCCTTTCCGAGGCTGTCGTTCTATTGGCTGGAAAGGTTGCTAGGCGACGATCCGATCCAATCTGAGAGAGAGCAAAAAAAATCCGCAAGCAGAGCCTACAGGTTTGCGAGCGTAACTGAGACTCGAGTAGAGCACGGTTTGTGCACGAAGAGAAGGAGGCAAGCGAGAGGAGAAAATATCTGTGCAAGAAGCATTAAATCTGAGAGAAGAAACAAAGATTTTAGAGAGAAGAGAAAATATTTGAGAGAGAGTGCATGTTTTGAGTGTGAGCATTATAAGTTTTGAGTGCAAGAAGATGAAATTCTTTTCTCAAATTGAAATTATGTGCTCTTGCATTACGGCAGGATAATTCTCCCATACAGGTGTCCCTTGTAGGTAATCATCATCGCACTGACTGATTGAAATTCTTCTTCTGAACCGAAGGCCACCTTGAATAAATCCAAGACCGGCCTAATTTTGATAAAGCTGTCTGCATTTTTGGATTCCGGCGAGTAGTTGCAAACATAGTGCGTATAACTAAGAACTAGCAGAAATTTATTCACTGGCATTGCATTGGCTGTCAGTTCAGGATTAAGTCCTGTGTCTGACAACCAGCACATTCTGGATCTAGGATATATGATGTATGAAATTACCATATTAATTCAAAGGAATGTTTTGAACTCCTCTGGGGACTATGTCAGCTTGTCTTTTTCTTTCTGAATAGTATTGTATTGTATATAGTCATAAATCATCTCCTGTTTGAAAAGATGCAAAAAGAATTTTATTGGATTTGCTCCTTTTCAGAAGCAGAAATACTTTAATAATCCCAGCGGGAAATTACTTTTATTATTCATCTTGCGTTTTCCAAATTCCACCACCTCCACTCCACCACCTAGTACTGTAGGTCTCCCACAAACTGGTTATCCTTAGGTTCCAGACATTTCTGAGACTGTTTTCTTTTGCTTTATTCCCCTGAGATCTCTGAGGCTTCATCTCCTTTCTCAGATTCAGCACCCAAAGCAACATTTTCCAGACTCTTCACCTTTTCTATCACTACCTAATCCTGCTGCTCTGCTTGCACATTTCTCTTTTGATAGATATGCATGAACAGGAGCTGTTTCCCCCCCAGGCCTGAAACTGGTGGTGGAGTGGAGATAGATAAAGTTGGTCAGTCTGTAGACTGCTGGTTAGCGAGATGGTATGCTGAGCTTTATGGGGAGATCCAGTGGATTGTATGGGCTGATACTAGAGCTTCCCTCAGGGACCTGGAAGATGGAAGTCCAGCTGGATAATACAGGTTCAGAGTACCTGTCCATGATGAGGAAGCATGGAGCGACAGTGTTGAGGAAAAACTCCCCGTTGGGAAGAAACCTCTGGCAGAACCAGGTTCAGCATGGCAGTCTTCTGCCGGACCGGTTAAGATGAGACAGCGAACACAGTAAGCGTCCGGGAGGAATAACACTCTGATGAAGCTTTAGCTACGAAGTTGGAGGAGGGGCTGGAGGTGGGTTGAAACGGTGTCATCTGAATGAGGTCACAGCGCATCCGCTGACTGCACAAAGGAGCAGACAAGTGTGTATCGTAGGCCTTTTAAGATTAACTTTGGAAGCCGATTGACTTTCGTGGAGGTGTGGCTCAAAACTGATTGCCCATTAACAGCAGTGTATGTAGCAGTGGCCAAATTGCAGAAATATAGCTACTCAGAAAAATACACTTTTAAACAGCTGTACACTGTAATGACCTCTATGTGTAAAACATTTAACCCTTTTTAGACTAGAGTCATATACAGTATTCATTAATGTAAGTGAATTATCTCCTTTGCACACACACACACACACACACACACACACACACACACACACACACACACACACACACACACACACACACACACACACACACACACACATATTTTTTTTGTTGGAATCCTTGATTGAATTTTTAATCTCTTACAGAAACTACTGTGGTAATGAAAGGGATACAAAAGCTAAACGGAAAAAAAAAAATTCTAGGCTAAACATCTGTTTGCAACTCCCCTGATATGTCATCTTCACAAAATAACAAACAGCAGTTCAGAGAGAAAAAGGAACCCATCAGTTACCGAAGTGACCAAAAGAAATGTACAAGAAGAACAGAACCCCATTATGACAGGAAGTGCTGTATGATCACGCCTTCCACATAAACCAGTAACACGCATCTGACAGTCTGGATCACCACAGCTCGCATTCTTACAGAAGGGTCCAGTGTCTGAATGAAAACAGCATCAAAATGGCTCTCTTATGGCTCACACTGTTACTTGTTCAACAAGGATGTAAGTTATTTTTAAATTATTTAAGATATAATAAGAAACCTGGATTTTCTTTGCTCAAATTTTGGTTTTTATCTTAATGTTTAACTTGCTGCTTTTGTTTTTATATTTAGATACTTTTGCTCCAGTGGTCACAGTTGAACTTGGTCAGTCTGTAACTCTGACATGTGCTTTTAGCAGAAAATATCAAAGCACCTCATGGGTTTACTGGTACAAGCAACGTTCTGGAGATATACTAAATTTAATTGTGATGCAGCAGAGAAGCATAACACCCAAATATGGACCACAGTTCTCTGCCTCAAGATTCAAAGTTACATACAGCGGGGACAAAGGAAGTTTGACAATTATCTCCACGGTTAAGCAAGATGAGGGAATGTATCACTGTGCTCAAATGGATGCACTTGAACATGCATGGAATGGCACAAATGTAGTAATAAAAGGTAACTACAGTAAATAATTTCTTCTTCTGGTATTTCGGGAAATTACAGGAAATTACCCAAAATAAATATAATTGTAGTCAACATTAACTACAAAAGGCGTGGTTTCTTGGGCATAGAATGACGTGAAGGTAATTTTCAGGTTCTTTTCATGAATCTTTGATTCATGTGATGTGTGTGTTTTTCAAAACTATATTATATTTCCATTAAATGCACAGCTATATTAGAAAAAAAAGCAGAGTAAAAAAAAAACCTACATGTAAAAACTTTATCCACATTTTCCATGTCAAGTTTAAATGGTATATTCGTTGATCTTTTCCATATTATTTGATGGTCAGACAGTTTTATCAACTGTTGTCTGTTTCAGTATGTAACTGATTTTTTTTTTCAACCAGTTTAAAAAAAAATGCACATTTCAAAGTTCCAATGGTTTCAATATCACAACCACATATTAGGTTTAATGGAACATGAAAATTAAGCCTGCAACATGTGATCCACCCATTGCAAGATAATTTATATGTTTAACAAAATAACATACTAACCCGATTTAAATTTCATGTGTTACTTTTTTCTGATATCTGTGGCACTATGCACTTATAATGTAGTATTTGTAAACTGAGATATAGTAACATAGTGTTTGCAAACTGAAACTCTAACAAAGCAAATAATTTTCATTGTCAATATGTATTTTATTATAATTTACATAGTGTCTTCCAGTGATGAAAAATAAATTCCTTTAATAGAAAAGTGTAATAAGATAAAATGAAAAGAAAAAGATTGAACAATTTGTGAAAAGAGATCGAGACTCCCAAAAGATTTGTTTATTATGTCCTCATAAAGGCATCAAGAAGAAATTTACATTGATTTAATAGTAGGAGTTTTGGCCTAGTGGTTAGAGTACCCGGTTTGATCAGCTTCCACTCTGGGTTCCTGAGCAAGACCCTTAACCCCACACTGCTCCCCGGGCGGCACACAATGGCAGCTCACTGCTCCCCAAGGGGATGGGACGAAATGCAGAGAGTGAATTTCCCTATTACAATAAAGGACAATAAACTTTTTTTTTTTTTACAATAATAAAGACACTTTGTATGGTATAGAATAAAGATTTAATGTTAATTATCAAGCCAGAATTTAGCTAACCCAAGTGTCATCTTATATTTCATATGTGACTTTCATAGATTTTCCTGTGACAGGATCCAAACTGTCACAGCAGGCCATCAAAGCTATTTCTCTGTCTGCTGCCTTACTTTTATGTCTGATTGGACTGGCTGTCCTTATATGCTTCATCAACAGATTTAACAATGGACATCGTCTTGGTAATTTTAAATGCTTTTCTAGTACTTTTTTATAGTCTGTATAACTGTATAACTGTTGCATCTAGATGTAATTGTCTATTTTTCTACTTAATCAGAGTCTGTCAAGATGAAGGAAAGCTGTGCTCAGAGCAGGCAACAGGTAAAGTATTAGGGCTTCCATATAAAATATTTTGATTAATTTTAAAGTAACAATTTAGTTTCATAAACTTGTGTTCGTTTTTTATTTTATTTTTAAATTGATCTTTTTAGAGAGAGGAAGAAATAAGAATGTACTCTTCTGCCATTTTTACCAAGATGAAAACCGACAATACTGACACAGAGAAAACATCTGAAAGAAAGATGATCTTCACTGCAGAAGCCTTCAGTCTTTAAAAAATGTCTCAAAAACCTTGTGCTAATTTATCAGGTTCTATTGAACAATGTATAACCTTATAGATTGAATGCATCGGTCTAACTTTGATTAAACATGATAATCTACTGCTTTTCATTAATTTACACAGAATATTAAGGTATAACGGATATCATACTATTGTGAACTTACCATTTGATCAACAAACAGAAAATGTAAAGGAACCTCAAACTGGCAGTAAAAGAAAAAATGCTTTAAGATTGGTATATTTCTAAGAGCTAACTAAAGATATTTTTTGCTTTAATTTCAAATGCTGTTTTGTCATATGTTAAATATTGTTCCTATTTTTTATTAATTCCTTGTTACTTGATCCTGGTCGTCAGTTTTTTTTCTTTTTAAAATTTGTTCTGATATGTTTTGCTGTACAGTATATTAAACTGATTTATTACACAGAGTGAACTATGTCAAATATTTATTTCTTGATCATTTGATGATTATGTGTTTTAAACAGTAATATAATTCTTAAATTCTCAGTTATATTCTCTCAGTATTTTACTAAGGTTTCTTATGCATGAACTATAGTTTGAGTTCAGTGAGATATGGAGGCAATCAGCTTGATGTAGTGCTGATGTGCAGTAAGCTGATTGCAAAAGAGTAACAGGAGTGATTACAGGAAACAGGGTTGGGAAGGCTGTCACAAATAATTGATTTAGTAATGCAAATTTAATTTGGTGGCATGTATTTACCTATTTATTAAGATGTAAAGTGACATTTGATGGAAGCCAAGAGCAGAAGGAACAACGGAAAGGAAAAAATAAAATACAAGGAGGACCTATCCGGTTAGCATCAACTTTCAATGGGAAACAGAAAAATGCAGACAATGCTTTATGAAAAAAAAAGTGCAAAAAAGCATTATAATCTTTTAATTATTGTAGCTAATGACACTGTTGGTCCCGCCTTTGAAATCAAGCTCTACCAGCTTTTTATCAGACTGATTCGCCATGTATACATTGTATAGTCTGGCAGGCCAGCCTGGTGATCAAAGGTAAGAGAGACAAGTAACAACATTAGTAAAACCAAAAATAATTAGAAATACTATATTATAATGCTCTAGATTTTACCAAAACCAAAACTACATAAAATAATTTTGTTATGTTATAGAATTAATCCTATAGACAATAGAGGCACAGACAGTGAATGAGGCAATGTAAGAATGATTCATCACTTTTAGTGTATTAATTTCAAAGAAAATAAAAACTGCATTTAATATTTTATTATAAACCAATTATAAATTCAGAGAAGCAGAGAAGACTCACTCTTATCTCAGATTGCAGGCAGTGCTACGGAGTCTTAACTGCCTGCCTGTCAATGCTTTGGACGGGCTGAGAGCAGTGCTTGCTGCAGAGAGTAAACTTAGAGTTATCAGTGTTTTTTATATTTGTGATAAAACCATTTTGGTTCAAAGGGTTAATGCTTTAACACAAACCATAAAACCTTAAATTGGGCAACAAACAGCCTCCTAGGCCAAGGATGTTGCACAGCAAAGTTCTGAAACTGTTGGCAATTGGTGTGCTGTGAAGTACGATGACCTTTTTACAAGGTCTCATCACAGATAACGATGAAACAAATGTGGAGGTTATTGCATGCACCAGATTGAGGTCAAGAAAATTTTATGGCCAATGCGTGAAGACATACTGTGGTACAACTTTGAGGACATATCAATACATCTCACAGCCCACCACATGGGAACTGAAAAAGAAAAGACGTCTGGTCTAAACTAGAACAGGCAGCACAAGTTTGTTTTCATTGAAGAGCAACATCCCACCCCCTCAAAATCTACACACGTTTGCAACTCAAGTTTTTATTTCCATCCACATTTGGACTTTACTTTGACTTATTTTTATTTTAGTTATTGAATTTATGTCTTACCCTGACATTTGCCCTAACACTAACCATTAAACTATATACTTAATCCTGACCTTAACTAAAGTTATTTCACTTCATGCCTCTAAAATTACTCTCTAACATTAAAAATAGGGGTCCATCGCATTAAAGTAATACTCAAGTAACATTCAAAATGACCCTTCCCAGTCAAACGCCAGCTGCACGGCAGCCCACTTCCTTGCAACTCCCTGGAAAATCCCCTCCAACTTAAATCTTCTGGAGAGAACCCCTCCTTCTTCTGGGCGTGCATACTTTTTTACTCTGACTCCACCATTTCACTGAATTAAAGGTGTCCAGGAGAAGGCGAATCATGACAGAATATATTGGATCAAAGATTGATGTTTAAAAAGGAATTAGGAAGGAACTATACAAAGTAAAAATAAAAATGGTCTAAGCATAATTCTAGAAGCTGTCCAGGACATTTGCATTAATTCCTCACCATTTGTGAGCTGTACAGTCTGAATTTTTTTTACTCCGGCTTTGTTCTTCCATTAATTATCATTTGCTCTCTGGACTGAAAGTCCAGTTTTTTTATTTTTTCAAACTTAGCTTTATAATCGTCTTCCACTCTGGACTGAGTAAAACACAAACATTAACAATTCACTTTAGTGCACTTGACTCTTAAGGCTGACTTATACTTAGAAACCCGGTTGTCTGCGTGTGTGTCGCAGTAGCTACATTTACATGCGCAAAATTTCCCCGATCCGATCCAAACCTTGGTTGACCGGAAATTCAAAATCTCCGTTTACATGGACACTAAATGAAATGATCCGATCATGACGTGTGTATACATGTACCAAGCGTTGGATCAGATTAAATCTTTTAAGCATGCGCAGAACTTCCTGCCAAACTTGGCAGTTCTGTCTGCGTCTGGTTTTTGGGAGGCCTGACAAACGATGCGCTCGGAGCGAGCGGAAAGAAAAACGGAGAGAGGAGGAAAAAAGCGCTTGGCAGCGAAATGTCCGAGAGAAAATGTAGAGAATGAGCGATTGAACCGGCGTGGGAGAGCGAGTGGGCTGTGGAGAGAGAAAAGAGGAAGAGGAGGAGGATAAATTCCTGCTTCCTGCAGCTTTAAATGAACTTGAGTGTATAAGTCGGCGTTCCTAGACTCCTCCTGCCATGTTGTTCACAACAAGAGCGAGAGCGACCGGTGGTTTCCTGTTGTTGACAAGGCGGAAAAACGTCACGCTGACGTCGCACACATGCGCAGTGAAGATTATTTTACTCTTAAGATCCGAATGGGTGTTTACATGGACGCCAATCAGAATGGCGATCGGCAAAAACCACCTCTCTCTTTCGGAAATTAAATTTATATCCGATCGGACCGAATCGGATTAGAATCTTCAGTCTGACATGTTTACATGAAACATTTTTGATCTGATCAGGCCTTCAATCCGATTATTTGTGTCCATGTAAACGTAGCTACTGAATGCAAATGTGCCCCCGCCCCTGCAGACACACTGCTGCACCTCTACAAAATTGTAGGTGACCCCAGACAGGAGGCATCAGACAGGAGACCTCTGTGTGGTCAAATCTACGTCCGCTCTACACTATTGTTATTTTTTTTCTTTTTACATTATGCATATTTCCTGTTTTGTACCTTACCAGCTTGTTTTGTTTGTATTACCGCCATTGTGGAAAATGACTTGTGAAGTTGGACCAGCTAGAAAAGCGAGGTGCGCAAGAACACTGGGACCCTTTTTTCACCTGGACCCTCACTCTTTTTCGCCTTCATATCCCTCAGGTGTTGCACAAACTTGCCCCCACTTCCTCACCGCCTCAGCCGTATCTAGACCCACAGCTAGTTCGATTGTCCCTCTTGTGTTGTGGTGTGAAATAACATAGCGCAGACCATGCTTCAAACCGATTTAATATTGGTGACATGCAGCGATAGGGGAACAGGCATGCGCCAATTGCACATTTTATTTTATACATCTGCAGAAAGTAAATTAAATTGTGATGTTTCTTTTCATTTTCTTAGGTTGTAAAAACTGCAAGTTTGAGAAAATAAAATTGGAATTTTTTACAATGTAACTTTTCAGCTTTAACATTACTATAGGTATGGATTTTTAACAGTTAAGCAATCAGAACAAGAGAAAAAACATTCTCCTGGGATTTCATGTAAACTTAGTGGTGTGTAACTCCTTTATTCATTCATCAACATTTTTTCATTGTTTTATGAAAGAGGAGAGATCACTGCTTGGATGCATTCAGCTCCTGGTTCAGCTTTTATGATTGTGTTGATGCACAGCTTTGACCTGCAAAAGTTTAGAATTTCAAATTCAAGTATCTGATCTGAACCTGCTTGGCTCAGTGGACACCCACACTTCAAGATATTGGGCCAAGACAAACCAACATGTTGGCTTACCCCGAATGGGTTCCAAATTCTATCAAGCAGATTGATCACTCTGAAGATTTACACCAAACATGGCAGAATTATCTCCCCAATGATTGGTCCCAAAAGTCTCTCTATTTGGACACTCTCAAAAGGGTAAGATCAGATAGAAATAAACACAATCACCTTACAATAAGAACTAGCCTTTACTGATGAATTCTGGAATTCATAGATCCTAATTAGTTTCTCGACTAAAAAGAACTACACTACAGTTACCATTGGTTTCAGTTCTGAGATTTTCTGGGTTGGTTGTTATTGTTAAGGTCTTGTCATATTGGATAATATGTCTTTAAACATCATAATATAGCAATTGTTACAAAATCTTACTATACTGTCCTGCAAATGTGCAGAAGAGTCCAGAAAAATATGGTGATTATTTTGCTTTACTGAGAATAACATCCTGCTGTCTTCAGATGAATATTTGAAATGTTATGCAATCTAGCTTGTGTTAAGCATACATTTGGACATTTGTTTCATATCACTTAGCAAATGGTTAACAGATAAGGTAAATATGCTTTTTCTTAATTAACAGTTGCTCATTGTGGATGGAAGTTCCCTCCGAATATATATCATGAAGTAACATATCAGATGAATTCACATCTGCATAGCCATGCCTCCTACTGTACCTTTACTTCAGTGTAGCATTTCCTAAAGAAGACATTGACAACATGATCCTGTTGTGGGTTATACTAATTCTACTTCCTCAAGGATGTAAGTACTACTTTTGTGAATGTAAAAAAAATCTTTTATATAAATCCTGCATTGTCTCATTTACCTTTTTTTATCCCCTAATCTAATGCAGATGCTTTGGTTCCAGTGGTCAAAGTTCACCCTGGCCAACCTGCGGCTTTGACATGTGATTTTACAGAGAGTTTTCCGAGCGTTGGTTGGCTTCACTGGTACAGGCAAACTCCGGGAGATACTCTGAAATTAGTTGCAATGCTGCGCAAAAATACAAACCCCATATATGGGCCAGGATTTACTTCCTCATACTTCAAAATCACCTATGACGAGAAAATGAGCAATCTGACAATTCTGAAAACTGCTGAAGAAGATGAGGGAATGTATCATTGTGTTCATGTCAACCTAGTTGAATCTAAGTGGATTGGGACGTATTTATCCTTAAAAGGTAACAATGTCCTATTTTTAGTGAAAATGCACACTTTTAAAAATGAAAACTAAAAGATTAAATATTACAAGGTTTGTATTTTTAAATGTGCAGTTAAGGCCATAGGTTGTAAAAATGATGACGAATCTGAAACAATGAAGATAACCAGTTAATGAAATTTATTATTTCCCTTAACATTTTTGTCTATAGTACTATTTACATACATTTTCTGCTCTTTTATTAAATAAAGTGCATAATTAAAACAATTAAATATTAATTCTTTGCAAGATATACATTTGTTAAGTTTAATTTTGACTGTAGGAAAAATAATCATATTAAAATGTGTTATAATTGTATGTTAGAACAAGAATGTAAATCATTGTTTTTGACAGCTTAAATTTATATTAGCAGGTTGCCAGATTAAACTTTTAGTGTCTTTTATTTTATGCTAAATCTCTGTCAGACTTTACAACCTTAAACTAAAATGAAATGATGTTGGTTGTTTTTTTTTTTAAACCTACCCACATTAGAATAATTTGATAAATATGTTTTAATAACGTAATGGAGTGTATTTGATTTGCTTAAACCTAGCAACACACAGAAGTGAAACATTTTTCATATTTTACTCTTCTTAGGGGAAAGGAGAACAGACTACAATGTTGTTCACCAGCCTGCAGTTTCACATTCTGCTCTTCAAGGAAACTCTGTGTCCCTGCAGTGCTCATTTCTCACTGACACTGACCAAAAGTCCTGTTCACGAGAACCCACTATATTTTGGATTCGATCTGGAGTTGATGAATCTTACCCAGATATCATCTACACTAACAAAAAAAGATCTGATCATTGTGAGAAGAGAGCCAACATGCAGAGATGCCTTTACAACTTCTCCAAGAAAGTAAGCTCCTCTGATACTGGGACTTACTACTGTGCTGTTGCCACATGTCGAAAGATATTATTTGGCAATGCAATAACACCAAATAGTGAAGGTAAGTGTGCAAATTTATTTTATTTCATGTAATAATTTAAATATATGTCATGATAACATTATGTGTCATGATAACATTAAGTCAACATTACTTAATTTGCTTTATTTACATTCTTAAGTTTGCTCCTTCCGAATTAAAATGTTATTTTTAATGAGATCCTATCATTAATGGCTTCTTCTTGTTATTTCTTTGAAAAAGCTACAGAATCAAGTTTTCAGCCATTGGCAATATTCCCAGCCATACTGACCACTGTTTTAGCCTCAAGTTTTATAGTTCTACTTGTCTTCCTCTGGTTGATCATTCATAAAAGCAAATGTCAACATTGCCAAGGTAATATCACATAGAGATAATTATTACATACTTTTCTAAAGGGAAAGTTGATTCCTTAATTCCTTTTTTTTCTTTTACTGTTCAGCTGCTGTTGAGCTGCAAACGCCATATGATCTGAGCAGCCACAAGGTAAGTGTTAATACTGCTGCTATTACAGGGTTGTTGTTTTTTACTCTATTTACCTTATCTATCATTTTATAACTTGTCTCCTCAGACAGAAGAAGACAGAATGCTGTTTTCTGCTGCAGTCTTCACCTTGATTAAAACTGTTCAGACTGAAACAAAAGCACCAGAAAGACGGATATTTGCTGCAGTAGAAGCCTAATCCCTGAGTTAAACATACCCAACCTCAATCTTATTTGTCTGTTTGGTTTTCCTACAAACATCGGTTTAAATTGAATTTAGATTAATGAGCACAAAAGTCATATATCTATATAGGTCCAGAGCCTTTGACCCTTGTGGGCTATATGGCTTTATGAAGCAGTGGGAGATCCAGGATCTAAACAACTCATGGTAAAAGTTTAAAATGTTCAAATGTGTACTGAATCTAGTTCTTTTACAGAAAAAAAAAAAAAAATAGGATTCAAAAACAGGCAGGAAAACCTTATTCAACAATGGAAGCAGATTATCCATGTACATTCTCACTGCAAAGACTATTTAGAAATAAGTAAATATTTCTTAAATTAGGTGTATCTATCCTTATTCTAAGTAGGTAAATGAGATAGTTTGCCAATGGAATGAGTATTTTTACTCTTACAATAAGATAATTAGATAAAATGCACTTGAAATAAGACACTGCAATTGTGTTTTCTTATTTTAAATCTACATTGTCTTGTTCCATTGGCAAAATGTCTCTTATACCTCCTCAATTCAAGAACAAATGCAATTATTTAAAGAAAAAATGACTTTAGATTTAGATTTTTTCCAGTGCTCAAATTAAATATAGAATAAACAAAAAAGAAATCATCTTTTTATAATGCAGTGTTGCACTATATACGTTTGTATATTCGTTTTTTTGTTGTTGCTGTTTTTGTTTGATATTTAATGCTGTTGTTATCCAGGCATGATAACAAATTAATGTAAAAACAAAATGCTCATCTGATGTATGTATTTTGTGATTGGATCTTTATCAATTGTTTACTTTTTAACAAAAGAAATATAAGTTAGTTTTTGTTTACTTTATATGATCCTAAATGTAACTTACTGTAGGAGTACATTGAGTTTGTCTTGCTCTTGTCTCTATTTTAAGTATCTTTGCAGGGACATAATAATGAAATTTGAAAAGAGTTTAAGGTAGGGGGGTGTCCATGGGGATACTGTAAAGAACTGAAATAAAAGATAAAAATGCAAAGTGCAAGATTTTTTTTTGGCTGTTTTGCAGTTGTATGTAGTAGTGCACTTAAAAAACTTAAAGCATAGCTCTTCAAAGATCATAAGAAGTGATTTGCAGTTTGGCAGATAGCGTGTGTAAACTTTATTTTTTTTTGCCATAATCAATGTGCAGATCCTTTTTTTCTAAAAATCGGGAATTGGTTCAATGCCAGGTAGAAACCATTCCTTTCACACTTCTCTGTCTCGTGGTAAGACGAATTTTTTTCGTTCCCAGTGTTTTTTATAGAACTCCACATAAGGCAAGATTGTCTTATCATAGATATTGTGTATAATAAGTTTTAAGGGCCTTCCTTGTTTTGCAGTATAAAATGTGAAGCTGTTGGTAAGAGGAGAATTTGAAGGTAAATCAAGCTGTTAGGAGTGAATATGTAAATCTAACTTTGGTTCCTTATTTGCAAGTGGGTGAGGTTAGGAGGGCTGTAAAGAGGTGACAAAAAAAAACCTCTTATATTTAACTTGACTTGTTTTCATTGCCTTTTTTTTTTAAGTTTTGTTTATAACACTTGGCGACAGACTATCAATGTGAAGTGCATTATTTAATATTATAGTAGTATAATTATTTTCTAAATTATTGCTGTAATTGTTACTTATATCTCCATGGCTTTGAACCTCATCTTTTTTACACAGCCATTTTAAAATTTGCACGATGACACGCAATCTATTGACCTATAATAGAGCAAAACTAAACCAGTTCGAACATCTTTATAGTTATGCATCAATCTTTGTAGATCAACAACAACAAGCACACTTATAGTATGAATAAAAAAAAATAAAATAAACATATTGCACCTGCAATTTAGCCTCCCTTAATTAAAATCTTTGAAGATCAGGTCCTTAGAGTAGTTTGCATCATTAGTAAAGAACATAATTTGACAGTATTGAAAAATTGTATCTCATAAATCAAGGAATTTAAAGCTTAGGCATAAATGGGTCATCAAAATGAAAATTGGCCTTAATTGGACACCATAAGTATCGTAAGAGTAGCTTTCAGATAAAGCTAGTGTTGTAGAGTGGTCATGGGAAACTCTGACTTCACCACCACAGAAACTTTTTAAACAGAGCAGATAAGTTGTGTGCAAGCGAGGCCTACTAACCTGACTCACTTAACTGCACACTGTGGTGGAGAACATGGAAAAAGAGAGTGAGACAGTGATAGTCCTAGTGGTCACAGGTGATGGCAACATAACCAAGAAGAAAAACAAGTAGCCTGAAACCCTAAAATGTTAAAGAGGAAATGATGAGATTGAGGTTGGCCTTAAAACCAGGAGTTGTTTCAGTGGCTTATAGGAAGAACTCTGAGCACCTCTTTAGAGCATAGTACCAAGATCTTTTAAGATTTTGTGAGAGCTCTTTAGCTCCCAGGCCTCAGTAAAAAAATAAATAAATAAAATGTTCTTTCAGAATTAGATTTTAAATCAAAAGTTAAGGGTTCAGACAATGAGAATATAGACCTACAATGTCTAATTTTTGCACCTGACTTGAAAACTTCATGTTTAGTTGCTATTACAACTGGCATTTAACTCAAGGCATTTCCTTTTTGACTGCTTTTCATAGATTCTATAATGTCATAATATGCAGTAATGTTCATTACCTGTTCCTTAACTGCCACAAAGAGAGTTACTGCAACTGATGATTTGAACTGCTGGTAATGCAAAACATAATGTCAGTAGAAAATAACAACTTTGGAATTTCAAAATAGGGACTTCACTGGAGGAGGGGATAGTTTGGAGAATAGGAAATATATTTTATGAATTAATACAAAACTTGAAAGTATGTAATTTTATACAAAGAAGCATGCCATATACCATTTGAAACATAGCAAAAAGTTTAAACCAAGTTGAGATTTTTTTTTTTGCTTTTTAGGTTATGTTAAAGTTATGTTTCATATAAATGAAAAGGACAGCAACACCTCACTTTATACAGTCATAACATAGTTTAATGCTAAAATAATAGTTTCACTGAGCTCAAGTAATGTGGTTAAATTTCATCGCTCTACACTGTGTACCCAGGGAAGCAGTACCCACACAAGAAAATAAATCCAAAGATACTTCACACATAGACAAATGTCGAAATCAAACTCCTCTCTGATGTCACACCCCTGCAATGGAGTTTGTTTAAGGGGCCAGATCCTATTCAACTTCATGTTGCTAGTTGCCTATTGCCACGTAAGGCTGGTCATGACGGTTCTCAGCTGAAAGCTATGCTAAATAGCAATGAAATCCCTTGGGAGAAGTCTGTGCTTGCTGGACCTTTCCAATGATTCAGAAGGAGCTGATCGTTGTGACTGTCTTTTCCTGCGATTCAAACTGAGTTAAAAGTAGTGTGACCCCGCCTGCTGCAGATGAGACAGCTGCAGCTCACAGCTTATTGCCATAGCTAACGGGAGACGCATGATTCAAGGCTACTGTAAGCTACAGTGACGTGCGGTGAGGTTCATAGCTGGTGAGGCACTGACGTCATCAGAATCAGATTTGCAAATAGATGCATAGATTGACAGCAGTTTACAGGTTATGTTTCACTTCTGCATCCTTACACATACAAACTGTAGCTCACAAAACACACATTTCCTTAAAAAACAAAACAAAATAAATGTTATTACTGTCTTACCTTTACTTATAAATGAATAGAAGTCCTCCTTATCTTCCTTCAGTTTTAAAAGTCTCTCTGTCTCAATGGAGATCACTGCCAGGGAAGAAAGCCTTCCTTGATCCGTCCTGTTCCTGCCTTATGTTTTCAGTCTCTTGAGCACCCCCTGCCATGAGGCAAGAGAACTGCCTGCCTCACCTCGAACTTGTTCTCTGCCGTTTATAATCGCTCATTACACGAAACACGTTACACAAACACAGTTGGTGACAAAAAGCTCTGTACATTATATACATAAGCCAAATTATTAGAAATAAGTTCACATATTACATTTGTTTAAACCATTTTATTGACGCCGTACAGCAACATGCTCTCTCCGCTTTGCAGCCAGCGCAGAGCCAGGGGTTGCGCAATCCAAGGTGAGGCAGAGCTCGCTGCTGCCTCACCGGCATCGCTTCCAAGCATTTGAATGGGAAAATAAGAAAATTCAGCGATTTTGAACAAATAAAAATCGAAATTGGTGAAGCTACATGAAAAATGAATATTTTTTAGTACAAACCACCGGATGAATATAACAATTTAAATTACTTTATGATTATATATTTTCTTTCTTTCCATGATGGCTGGTGAGGCACTGCCTCACCTGCCTCCCCTGACCGCACGTCACTGGTAAGCTATAAAATTAAACCCAGTAAAGTTGCCACGCTGTTTGCATCCAATTACTCCAATTACAAAAGAACAAGTTAAGACACTGTATAACATAATTGGACAACAAACATAATTTTACCCTCCAATTAAGTCCTACAGTACACCTTCATATACTGACCCAGCAGTCAACGCAGAGGTATATCCTCAATACATTTTATTTTCAAATTTGAAATACTTATACAAGTCATTAGCTGCTTCACAATAAAGCAGTAAGCTCTCTTGTCATGGTGAGTGAAAAAAATGTATTGTAGTGCAGAATTGTGGGGTGTGCATTTCCTATGTTTCAGCCAATCACTTGATTTGAACTAAAGATTGCTAACCTAAATCTTCTATCTGTGTGGAGAGATGTCAGTTGTGCAAGAGAGACGTAACTACAAACCATGATCAGAGGGGTAAGTGCTTAGCTTTTTTTAAGCACACTTGGTAAATTCAATTCCTGTGTACTGTAACACAAAAATTACTATGATGTTTTTTTTCTAAGTCTTTATTTTGTTAACATTCTTTCACCTTTGAATTGATGATTCAAACTCTTAAGGTTCCTGACAACATCCCTCTGACTCAAGCTGGACCAAATTAAACTGTTCTATCATGTAATGCATCTGGGCTTAAAAGTGGGTTGTTCTACTTATATAAGATGATTTATGGATATGTGGTCAAAACAGTTGCTTCAGGGACCTTTGGGAAATAAAATTTAAATCCTTTCCTAACTCAACAGTTAAAGTGAAATTGAAAGGGACATGCATATCCTCATCAGAAAAAAAGGATGAGGCAACATACTTATGTCAAGAAGGAGCAGTATACATAGATGCATATATAAATTGGAAAGAATTTTATTGAATTTTTTAAACAATGATCTTTTAACATTACATTAATGTTAAAACAATGAAGTGTGTTAGGTGTTCTGATGCCACATGTAGGGAGATGTTTTTTGGAAAGGCAATGCATCTCAATATTCAAGGTAAGTGTACAAATTACTGTCATTTCATTAAATATTTTAAATGTGAGTCAGAATAAGAAATCATCAGCAGTGTATTTGTTTCATGTACATTTCTTAGGTTTAATGTTTTAAGCTCCCCCCCCCCCTTATGTATGGCTTATTCTTGCCATTTCTGTGAAAATGCTGCAGAATCAAGTTTGAGGCAATTTATATCATCACAGTCACACTGCCCATTGTTATAGTGTAATAGTCATACTTGCCATCATCTGCTATATCCTATAAAAGACAGATTAGGAATGTTTAGGAATGTGAATTGTGTGTTTGCATGATGCCGCTCTGTTAGATGCATGCTGATATCTGTTTTTCTGTTTCTCTGTATGGACATGCTGTGATCTGGGGGACAAAATAAGAAACTGCAATCTTGGATTTTAGGAAGCCAAAGGTTAGTGTTAATACTGTTGTTATTGAACCTTTTTACATATTTTCAAGATAAAAACAATTTGTTTGTCTTTATATTTTCTTCTTATTTCTCTTATCTCTTATTTTATCACTCATCTCCATAGAGAGACAAAGTCACAAGGATGTACTGTGCTGCAGTTTCAAACATAAAGGGAGGCTTTATGTAAGTTTTTACTGAAAAATATCTTTAAATTAGCCTTTTTATTTGATCCTCTGCAAATAAAACATCATTTGATGAGCAGACTGACACCTCAGTATTTCAGCACTGTCTCTATAAGCCTGTAGCCTATTTTCTTTTATTTTTTTATTCAGGTCTGAAGCTCCTGCGCTGCTTCAGCGAATATGACGTTGAGCGCATTCACTTTAAATGGGTCCAATCTAGCAAAATAGCGGTTTTGTTATCGAGATAAATTTTGTGGATACCTAGAAGCAACAAGCATTCAGCTTAACTCCAACACCAATAACAACACTACATAAGGTAAAAAGAGAGAGGGAGAGAGAAAAAAAATAATCAAATTCCATTTAAAGATTGGGGGCAAGGATTGTACTCAACATCGGATATGCTTTTGACTCTCTGAAGGAACTCACAGCTTCACTCAGAGCAAAAGGGACCTTCAAATGCCAGTCTTATGAAAATGTGAGCCAAGGTACAGTAACACAAAACAGATAACATATCTCAAGTGTTGTTTTCAATTCACGATTATGTCTATACTGTATATCCTTATGTTATTAGCTATAGCATGCTCGCTTAATAAGCAAGCTAATATGCCAGAACATTTATGGTTTTGAAGTGATCATGAGTGCGTTCCTAAGAGGTGCTTCTATTGAAGTGCAGCTGACTTAGTGTGTGGGAAGGAGAAGCAGGATCCCTTGAAAATAATTACTGTGTGTAGCACCAATTAAAAGTACATTTTCGATTGCTACAGATTTTCCTGCAGACAAATTTTCTGGAATTCTCTGCAGCGTCTTGTCGGCCGACCAGGTGGAAAAATCCTCGTTCTCTGGGAACAGACTGAACTGTCAAACCAGACATTCCTGCCTGAGACGCCATAGCCACTGCAGCCGCTGTTTCTGTAGACCAGTTTGTTTTGAATAAATGATTTTCAAGTTATAGCACTGTCTGTCTTGCTGGATTCTGTGTCCCTCTGAGTCATTACAATAGCATGCTTCCACACTTCCACTGCCAATTTCTTAGACTTAGACAAACTAAGTCTAAGAAATTGTCATTTTTTATACACAGGGTGTATACAAAACAAAATTTTGTTTACATACAGCTATCTGACAGTGAATGAGCAGCAGATTTGGGAGTGACGGCCTAGTGGTTAGGGCAAAGAGCTTGGAATGTTGAGATAGATAGATAGATAGATAGATAGATAGATAGATAGATAGATAGATAGATAGATAGATAGATAGATAGATAGATAGATAGATAGATAGATAGATAGATAGATAGATTTTTTACTACCTGACTCTGTTTACCTCCTACTTTTATCATCACATTATTCTTAGTTATACTAAATTCTAAGTTATACTAAATTCTGTTTTAGTTTTCTTTCAATTTATTGTTTAATATGTAAATTGTTTTCAATTGTCTTTGCACTAAATCTTGCTATATAAATAAATGTGCCTTGCCTTGCCTAGTTTTGGCAATATTTGTAAAACATTCATGCCAATAAAGCTGATAAAAATGTTCAGATGAGTTGAAATATAACAAAATAAACCATTAACAAATTATATACAACTCTGAATACATTGTAAACTTTTCTGAATATACTGAAAACACTTCTGAATATGATAAATTAGACTCTGCATTTATGCAATACTGTGATAGTTGCAGTGGCCTCAAGGAATCATGGGTAGTTTTAAAACAAGTAAATACCTGACTAAATATACAACACATACATTTCTCTTATGTTGGAGATTAATTTCTTTTATTTTATTTTATGTTTGAAATAAGTACTTTTTCCATATGTCCTTTTGTTTTCTGTGTAAATCAGCTAAACTTATATTCCAAAGTTAAAGGCTAAGATTAACCATGATGACCTTCGGATTGTTTTTACCTGATTTGGAAATTCTCTGTTACGCAGGGAAGATTGGGAGGCACATCCTGAGAGAGTGTGTAGCTTTTTGATAAGCATATGAGCAACCCTTAGATCAGAGCTATTATGCTGTTCCCACAGCTACGGTCAAGAAGGCTGGCCTAAAGCCCCTGTCACACCTAGACGATTTAGACAGCATGTGCCTGACGTATGAAAAACACACATCAACAAGTATGCAAGTATGTAGAGAGATTTTGAGCAAGCTCAAAATTTCCCCACGAAAACCAGAGTATGCTATACGTGGGGCATTACAGCTAAGTTATTAGCTTATGAGTAAATTAAAATTACTCATAAGTTGTGGTGCATGGCTTAACCAAAACCTTAAACCCAAAACCATGAGTAAAGTGTGTATAACTTATCAAAAAACATATCTCCAACGTATATTTGACGTGTTCCAGATGACAACTGAATGTGATTCTAACTTCCATCCATCCATCCATCCATCCATCCATCCATCCATCCATCCATCCATCCATCCATCCATCCATCCATCCATCCATCCATCCATCCATCCATCCATCCATCCATCCATCCATCCATCATGCTTATCCCAGCTGGGGTCACGAGGGGTGCTGGTGTATACCCTGGACAGGACACCAGGACACCAGTCCATCGCAGGATTCTAACTTAGAGCTACTGTTTAATGGCTTATTGGCAGTGTTTTGGTATAAAAGGGGTTCACAGGAAGAAACCATCAGTACTTCATCCTCAGACAAGGAAGGTGAAGACTTCCTCAGCAATTTGCTCTTATATCGATATATTTTTACACTTTTTGAGAAACATTCCTCCCAGGATAAGAAGGGGGTGATCAAACAGAAAAACTCAGAACCTCTGGGACCCAAGCACAATGTTCTAACTACTAGGCCACCACTCCCCCAAGGCCACCACCTCCTCAGGTCCACACTCTATAAAAAAAATACAATTCAACTTTATTGCCATTACACTGTCACATGTACGAAGCAACAAAATTCACTCTCTGCATTTAACCCACCCCCTTGGGGAGCAGTGGGCTGCCATTGTGCAGTACCCAGGGAGCAGTGTGGGGTTAAGGCTCTTGCTCAGGGACCCAAAGTGGTAGTCCCTGGGATTAGGGCTTGAACTCAGAACCTCTGGGATCCAAGCGCAATGCCCTAACCCCAAGGCCACCACTCCCCTAAAAATCTACGATTCAGGTAAGGGTGCATCTGAAAGTTTCTCATTTTCTACAATATGTGCAAACCACACCAAAAGCGGGGGTTCATTTCAGCCGCAACCCGCAAAGTGTAATTAAAACCTGTAATGGCCCCACACACTTTATTACTTTATATTTGTAATTCTTGTAAACTGTGTCCCTGCTAGCATCCATGTTATGTTGTTATGCAGGCACCACGGATGTGGATTTCAGTATGATGAATGAACATGTGATAATATGGCGCCACTGGAGTTTAATTCTGCACTTGACTAGATAAGCATTGGTTTATAAAAGGAATGCAATGATGACCTAGGCCCAAAAAATATCTTCACAATGAAATCCCAAAGGGGGAAACTTTGAGTTTTCAAGTGTGTGCATCTCTTTTACAATAAAACCCTTTTCAAAACCATCAACACTTTTCATGAAGTGAGACCCTTTTTTGAGTGTGTATGTATTATTTTTATGTTTAGTTTGTTTTAGCTTGTACATATAATCTTTTAACAAAAATAAATGGTTAGAACAAATAAATTTATTATCACTGACACTATTGAAGTAAGCAGGTTAAAAAGGATGCCATTAAGTGGTTTCAGGGGTATTGTATTTTAGTGATAAACCTATTATTAATTTCAGTCTTGCTTAATTTATTTATTATAAATCATTTCAGTCTTACTTAATTAAGAAACATGTAAATTGTTTAATTTATTTGCCAACCAAGGACATCGGGTCCTTTATTATGTTATAGTACATGAAAATGTAAAATTTTCTCTATGTAAAACAATTCTCACCTGAACCTTTTCTTGATAATCAGTGGCGTATCTACCATACTATTGATATTTATGTATTTATTGTTGTATTAATAAATTACAGGGAAATTTCACTAGCACAATGAGTGTTTTATATTTGAAGAGTCAAAATTAGCGCAACTGTTTAATCATTGGCTGTGTCCGATGTCTGCCTTAACAATTATATAGTGTGCTATATAGTAGTTACGCCATTTCAGATGAGTGTCTGAATGTATATTGCACGAAAAAGTAGTGTACTCTAAATTGATCACAATTCACTTTGAAAAGTAGTGATCATCCATGGTCACTAGACAAGCGGATATATCCCGGAATGCTTTGGGCTTTTTTGTCACAGCGACCTGCAGTCGCTTACAGCTGTTGCTACCCGACAGGGTTGTCAATTAACAAAGATGGTCTATGTACCGAGCCGGGAGACAGAGTTAAGTGACAAACGGGGAGCAAAATTAGTGATCTTCTGTCAGTTAACTGAGTTCACTATAAAAGCCACTATATAGCCCCACTCTATTTAGTGATTGAGGGATTTGGGGTTTAGTGCGGACATTTGGACACAGCTATTGTAAATCATCAGCTACTTGCAGTTTATAGAAACTGCCACACACAAGATACCGCCTAGTTAGTCGGGTCCATCAGTCCCTGGAAGAGGAGCACATTGAGCTACTAATGAACATTATCGCTAGCCTGACGTAGTCCGACTCAATTCTAGTCAGAATATGAGTCTGATACTGCTCCATAGAGCTGTGATTATGGGGCGTGTTTTGAACGAACCAGGAAAAAAAATGCCTCTGCACTCAATTGGACAGACGTACAACCAATAAGAGCAACGGAGTGCATGACGTATCTTAAGCGAGGCATAGTTGTTGTCCACAAAAATCAAAGCGTGCAGTTTCACGCCTAGAATAAGAAGATGAGACTTGATCGCGTTTCTCTGTTCCTCTTTTAAAATTAATTTGCTGTCGATATCTTCTAGAACAGACCTAATAGCAGAATCTACTCACCCAAACTCTCCAGCGGCAGCCATTATTGTTGTCACCCAAGCGCGCATTGGTCACGTGGTTGATAACGTTACTCTTGATC